CTGATATGATGACTGTATTGTTCTGAGAACGAGACTTCCCTCCATTGAAATGGAATCTTATGTAAAAAAGAAAAAAAAAAGGCTAAAAACAAGTGAAAACGTCCTCGCAAGTGAGGAGAAACTGAATGAGCCTCGTTTCAGCCAGCTGACAGACCAACAGCTAGCAGAGGGGAAACTCTGCATTACTCCATAATGCTAACATGCTAACACTTTACTGACTTAAGCTGAAAGTAACGCCATCTATATTTAACTTGCTGCTTCTACTACACCTAAATTTCCCTACTGTTACTGGAAAGGATATCTCTAGGTTATGTGTTACATAACCTAAGTTTTATTTATTATTATTATTATTTTGTGTGTGTGTTTTGGGAATTGGTAACATTTTAAATAACTGGGGGGAAAAAACCCTAACATTTCACTAGTTATTTGCTGATAGAAACAATTAAAATATCAAAAATCATCAGGGATATCATTTTGATGTAGAGCTTTTTGATGTAGATTCGTCCAAGCTGCCTCACCTGCTTCAGGCACAGGAAGTGGTTATGTAAGCAATTAACTATGGGCAACCTTAGCTTTGCTCCATTCCAAACTCTTGCACAACACTGGAAAGGATCAAACTTGCAATAACTAACGAGATCAAGCCAGACCACATTCCAAAACAAACCTCGAGTTAATATTCTTAAGTCGCTGTTTCGTATTCCCCTATTCCCCCCGCCCTTATGGGGCTGAAATCAATGAGCATCTATGAGATGCAATTAGATCCAGCATTTGTGGAGAGAAGGCAGCGGGTACAGTTTAAAGCTTTGCTCCCTCCTCCCCTCCTCTTGATACCTCAGAGCAACATGAAACCCCCAGAAAAGCTCCAGCGGCTCTCTCACCATATGGCCAGAGCAGAAGAAGAAGAAGAAGAAGAAGGGGGAGCTAAAAGAAAATCCTCCTGGTAACCATATAGAGACTGTTTTTGACTATCCGTCGGTTTCATGCCACCAATTTCCCTGATGTCTGGGGTTTCAGTTTGTTTGTTGCTGAGCATGAAGAAGAGGTGGAGGGGGAGAGAGGAAGGAGCTGAAGCTTTGCGGAATGGCCCTTTGTTTGAAAGCGGTCTCTCTCTCTCTCTCTCTCTCTCTCTGCAGCGCTGGAAATGCGAGACGCTTATCGATCATTTCAACTGGAAAGCCTTTGTGCTGCGCGCGGCTCGGAGCGCTGCGGGCGAGCGCACCGATTAGCAAATATAGATGTAACACCGCAACAACTAGGTTAACTTTAATTATACCATCAGAATAACTTCCAATGATAACGGTGGCGGTGTTTTTTTTTGTTGTTGTTGTTTGTTTGTTTTGTGACGTGCAGGCGACGAAGCGCTCTTTGTCCATCCAGCAAATAAGCAAAAACCGAAGAAAAAAAAAATCTGAGGGGGGATTTGTTTTTTTTTTTCTCGGATTAATCCTGGATTAATCATAATAAGGGGGACCCGATAACCGCCTTTGTTTCCACCCTAAGCCACTCTCAACCGAAGTTGAGCTGAGAAAAAGTAATTTGCGAAACAACAGAAAAAAAATAATAATAAAAAAATAAAGCCCCGACGCTCTTACGTCGGTTGCTTTTGTATCCGCGTCTGTCAGCTCTCCTCCTCCTCCACCTCCTCCTCCTTCTCCCCGCCGCCTCCCCCTCCTCATTGCCGGGGTTACGGCTCCGGACAGCTCCGGTCGAGGACACCCAAAGAGGAAGAGAGGCGAAAAAAGAACACCTTCCGCTACTGGAAAAGCAAGCCCCTTTAACGTCATAAAAAAAAAAAGTGGCCAAAACCCACCAAAGTGAACAGGATACCTACAGGATATAAAGGTAGCCTACAATAGGAAGCCCCTTTAATTTTTAAACAGCAGCTGGTCGGCTAAGCTAGCGAAGAGCAGTATCTTCGTTTCATTTTCCCCACTCATGGCCAGTGTTAGCTCAAACTTCGGCCATAGTTGTCTCCTTTTATGTCTGCTAAGCGTGAACCATAACACGAAGCATGTGTGGTCCGAAACGCGTTCAAAGTTGACGCTTTGCATACTTTCTGCGATAGCGGAAAAACTTCCATCAATCATCCCCTGACAAGATCCAGCAGCAGCGGCAGGAACTCGGAAACACTCCTCGGTTTGTGTGCCAGCAAATGTTTTTTGTTTTGTTTTGTTTTGTTTTGTTTTTTTGTTAAATACTTTATACTCCACTTACCGACTTGCAAAACATTTTCCACACAGCCGGTTTCCAGCAGCCTGATCCCCCGTCGGAAAGGGAGTCCGTCTCCCGTGCCCACTACTCCGGCTGCCCCCACGGCAGCCGCTGCACCAGCGGTAGATCCTGCGCCGCCACCGGCGTTTGTAGCTCCGGACCCCGTCCCCCCACTTCCAGCGGCGGCCGCCGACGGACCTTCCTCGCCGGCCACCCTGCACTGAAACGAAGAGTACATGCATATCTCCTTTTCGTTGCGTGGGAAAGACCAATAGACGATACGACGCTGGACGGGCTCCGGAATCCGCTCGAAGCGCTCCTCCACTCTCTCAAAGGCCCACTTTTCCGCTACCGCTTTAGCGGCGCAGTCCAGGAGAGACTCCGGGGAGCGATACCGGGAGCCGGGCGAGCCGCTGCCGTGCCCCGGCCCCGGCCCGGGACCTCTGGGTGCGGGGCGGAGGCAGGGTCGCTTGCTTGCTGGCGGTAAGGAGAGGGGAGGATGAGGCGGTTGTTCTCTGCGTCCTTCCGCCATGGTGAGCCGATCTACACTGACGAGACGGACGGTGTGCGGACACCGCGCAGGAAGCCGAAACACACGCTCTCAAACAGCACACACACACTGAGCGATTCACTGTACAACCAAGCAGGGTTTTCAGGGGGACTTCCGATCGCAGCCTTCAAAATAAAACAAAGATTCAGTTTCTATCTAGAAAAAAGTGTTTCTTTTACATTTTGTCACGTAAACAACCAAAAACTTTAAAGTATTTCAATGAGATTTTATATGATTGGCAAAGACAAAGTAACATAAGTTGTAAATAAATACATTCTTTGGGAAGTTTTGCGGATTTAGACGCATCGTATATTCACGGTTCCTTGCAAAAATAGCCCAAGTTCTGTCAAAGAGAACGGCGACATTAGGAAACTCATTTAGGTTAGTTTGTTTAGGGTCACTGTCTCGTCTTAACTCATGTTTTTTTCGTGGATACTCTTGCATTTTTAGTTCCGTCCAGGGCTGGCACAAGCCTTTTTGGGGGTCCTACGCAGATTTTAATTTGGGGTCCCTCTCATACTAACATGTCATTCCTAGGCTAGACTATGCTTGTATGATATTGATATTAGTGTTATTTGTGATTAGCTTACACTGCAAAAACATAAAATCTCAAGTATTTTTAGTCTTTTAGTGCTAATACCTTATGACACTTGAAATAAGACGAAACCAAACTACAAGTAATCTTTAGCAAGACATAGGAGCTTGTTTTAAGTCAATATTTCCTTACAAAAATACTATTTACACTAGCAGATCACTTCACTTATATTATGGGAAAATAGTAGCAAACAAGCAAAGATGCTCCAATTAATTAGCATTTTGAAATGCAGAGCAGTACTTGCTGTAAGTGTGGCATATTCATTGAACTACTTGAAAGTAACATCTGCAGACAAACACTGAACTTGCAGTAAAGTGAAAAAGTGTAATATCTTTTGTTTTTAAATTTTGTAACAGAAAGTGTAGATGGTGTAAATCTATCACTACAAATACAAGCAAATGACACTGTTGCTGTCATTTGCTAGTGATGGTGGTGGGGCCTGTTGAGATTAGTAAATTAGTTAAATCATTATGATTACTATTAGGTGTTGAGATGCTTTACCAAGGCCGAGAAAGAGTCACACGCTGTTAGACAAAGGGCCCATAGTAAAGAGTTACATTTTTGATTCTGTTAGACACCAAGGTCCATTTCTCACGAGAAACAGAAACTTATCAGGCCACAGAGGCATGGTATGATTTCAGGGAGTGTCTTCCGTCCATATAATCAGCTGCCCTCCTCTTTCTCCTCAGACGCTGCACAGACTTTTTTAGAAACTCTTCTCGGATGTAATGGTAAAGTGTCTCCTTTCAGCGCTGAAAGTTAATAAAATAAGTAAAGTCTGAATGCTTTTCTTGGCTGATTTTATGCTCCGTGTGTCAATACAAATTATGATTCATCGATTGAGATTCCCAATCTCAACAGGCCCTAAGCAGATGCTTAACTAGCATGTATGCCTGGGGCCAGCTCTGGTTCCGTCCATCTGTCCTCGCTGAATAAAACTCTCCCCGAAGCATGACGCTGCCTCCGCCTTGTTTCACTGTGGGGACAGTCTAATATCAGTTTTCCAACTCACATACATTTTTATTTTTCACATATGTGTCAAAAGGTTCAAAAAAACCTGCTGTCTCACCCTACATAAGCTCAAAGCTTACTGGAAACAAGACTTGCGTTCGTAAGAAACGTTAAAACACGTTGAGCATCGTGCTAAATGCTCTCCTTGTGTTGCTGAGTTAAAAAAGTTTAGATTTAAATTGAACATGTACACATCTAATTTCACCCAAAGCTCTGGTTTCCACTGCGGAACAGAAATCACATTTCTTAGAGAGAAACACATAATTTTTGACCACAGGTTTTCTCTAGAAAAAAAAAACAACAACAACTTCAGTGTCCCCCATAATTATCCCATTCCTGTTTAAAACAGATATCTCTGAATATTGTTTACGTATTACTTTTTATCTTTTATTTTAAAATGCTAATGTCTGTATTTCCTGTCCTCCTGCCTTCATGCCTGTGGCTTAATTGCACTGAACAGACAGAGAGAGAGAGAGACTGGGGCTGTGTGGACTGGAGGGAGGTTAAGAACGATGCTTGACACTGACCAATACAATAACAAACCTCTTTATACTCCAATCAGCGTCTCCTGCACGCCATGTAAACTCAGATGTTTCCCCCAGGCCCCCCTGTTTTTTGTCCTTTTTTTTTCGTTTGTTTTTTTAACGGTAATAGCTTTTGGAGAGAAGAATCACACAATGCGCTAAAACCAGTAATAATTTCACTGGATTTCCTCCCCCCCCCCAGTAAAACATGCCTCATAGCGAGAGTCTGCAGCTCTCGTGTTTAAAATAAATAATGATAAAAACAAAAAACAAAACAAAAACTCTCACTTATCTCCTCTTTTGTCGTTCTTGGCACAAGCAAAAGCACTCATGGGCAAAATGGGCAGTTTCTCCTCATCAATGACAAAGTTATTGTTTTGCTAATTTGATTCACACCATTATGTGGCCTATAAATATCAATTACACCAACTCAGCAAATACGCATTGTCTTGAATGGCGGCAGCATGCAGTTTTAAGTCTGCTTCCCACAGCAGGACACAGAGGGTTTAATCTAATACCCAGGCTACAGCTTAACACCCCCACCGCCCCCTGCACCCACCCTCTACATCTGACTGTAACCCACAGCTCATTTACCTGATGCTATCTCTGAATGTTAAAGACTTTTAATCTAATTAAGCAGTTTTGTGGTCCAAAGGTCAAAAAGCAAACAGGTTTACAGAAATGCTCTGCAAATCAATGATCCCTTTCATTGAACCGAAGCAAAATAATCTTTTTTTTTTTTTTTTTTTTTTTTTTTTTATTTTAAAAAAAATTTTTTGGGTCGGGGCCCAGAAAGGGAAAAAAAAAAGAG